TCAAGTGGTCAGAAAAGAAATGATGGTAATGTGAATCCTCTCGATAGTACTTCTGAACCACATGTAGATCCGCCTGAAAACGAGGATACTGTTGTATCTCCTTTAGTTGTAAGTAGTCCACCTACAGTTTTGCGAAGATCTCAAAGGATTAGAAACCAGTTGTTAAACTTAACCTGTAACTGTAGGTTATCACTATGTCTTGGGTACAAGTGCATCCTGAAAATCTGGGGGAAAGCAGTGTAATATATTCGTAACCGGAAGCTGTGTTAAGCTGTTGAATTACCGAAGATGCTTAGAGAATAAATTTGTAGTGTTGAGCAAGCCTCGTGAACTTGTGTTGTTGTGTCACCAAGCCATACTTTTGCTAGTATGTTTCACTCGGCCTCTTAAAAACACGTGCTCAGCGGGCCGCAAATGACTGACAACTGGCTGCAAATGCATATCAGCCCTGCAGCTGATTGGTTCTTGTCTCATCATCCGACGGATTTTAACCAATTAGAGTAAGGGTAGTGCTGACGAGGGAAAACCACTCACTTACGAAACTCTAGTTTCACACTGCAGTTTTTTCAGTCGTCGAATCGTCAACGAACGAAACCTGAAGTAATGGAAGAAATAAGGGGTCAAAACTCAGATTTGGACAAATTAGAAGCAAAAGCTCAGGCGGAAAATACGGAGAAAGCCACTTTGTGGGTGATGAAATCTGAGAAATGGTGTGACAAACAAAAGCTGAAAGTTGACTTCAACTGTGTAACAAGGGTCGAGGTAAATGGATTACTTCGAAATTCTGTGCTAAAGTTAAATCGGAAAAAGGCCAACCACTAACACAAAGTACTCTCACAGATAACTTTGTGATGTGTCTATTATTTATAGACGATTTTATCCATTTTTTCCTGTAATTTTTAAGAGCTGGTTGAATCAACAATTACATGATAATTTGAAGTGACTTTGAATTCATTATTCTCTTGTATTATTAAAACGGGCATTCTTGATATCATTTGGCCTTGTATATTGATAATAATGATAATGATAATACTTTTTTATTGTTTATTTGCGCCTTTGTAGTGTCATTTGCGACAAATGACATTACAAGAGCGCAAATAAACAATATTCCCTCAAAGAGTCGTGTTATAGTTGTTACCGCCATATCGCGAAGCCAATCTCGATCGGTCTCCAAACATCGTTTTAAAAAAGAACAAACGTTTAAGTTTATTCACGACAACGAATTTGACTGAAAATAGAACAAAAATAAACAATTATTTACAACATTCGACGGCTGAACGGACAAACCCCGAAAAACACAAATTTACAGCTTTTTCCCGAAATGAATGATTGACTTCTGGTAGACGATGATCGCGAAAAGGAAATTATAAGAACAGCGACAATGACTAGCTCTAATATAACTCGAAGGATGTTAGTTTGACCGTTGCTACAGAATTTAAACTACTAGTCTTATTAACATATTGACCTCACGCGCGCGCGAAAATACCAGATGTCCCGCGGGGCCTCTTGTAAGCATAATTAGCAAGAGTGTTACAATAGTAAATGGTTTGAGCCCAGGAGAATCAGTAGTTCGTATAGTGTGATCGTCCGGGTGAGGGTAGTTCCGACCTACTGAAGTTGACGCTACGAACAGGAACCCTGCACCTGTTACTACCGTGACTATACCTWACATCAAGGGCACTTCTGAGACCATCTCACGGATCCTACAGCCCTACAACATCTGTGTAGCCCACAAACCTACAACTAAGCTACGACACTTACTGACCAACGTGAAAGACAGGGACGAACCAAACAACAGACAGGGAGCAGTTTACAAGATCAATACATGGACCAAATACCGACCAATTTGACTAAGAATAGACGGATCGAAGCCCACCAATGACTGATGACAAACTTTACACGAGTCTTTCAGCCAATACCATCATGGCTAAACTGACCAATAACGTTCAACGGAGCAGACTTATAACATCATCGACTGACAAACACTATTCACTTGACTCTGAAGATGACTTCCGCTCAGGTTGTCGAAACGTCAGTTAACAACAACAGTTCTTTTCAGAACTACCCTCACCCGGACGATCACACTATACGAACTACAAAAGTCGTGTTGTTCGCATGTTAATCTCGCTCCTTTTCGTCCATATATATCGTAACAATATTTTGAAAAAGAAATGAAATTTAACCTCTTTATCTAACTCCAGTAACTGAAGTTTATAGCCGTCTTATTGCTTCCGCGAATGGCTGTTAGAACTCTCGACTGCGGTTTGAGCTCCTAACAATTTTCATCTTAGTTGGCCAATCTTCTGTTAATTGTCAAATAGAACGTAACGATGCAACTGTTGGCCTAGCGTGTTAACATATGCACATTGCATTCAATGTATTCATCTTAATTGATGGAGTTAATTTCGGGCGAATGATTACGTGGCTTTTGGGATTTCAATAAATAGTAATAAATTCCCACTGGGAGCCCTCACTCCCAAACGCCCCAGGCAAAGATAAGATATGGGAAGAAGCGAGCCCGGAGGCGAAAAGGAGCGGGAGCTAGCTAGGATGGCAACATTGGTCGTCGCTGCGGGGAGGAGGGAGGGACGCCAAGCTAACGACTGGCGAACGTTTAACGAAAAGAGGATTAAACAGGCCAAAACACGTCTATTTATACAAAACCTGTGTGAAACAGAACACCCAGGAGACTACGAGCGCGCGGGGATTTTTATCCTTGAATCCAGGAGAGATTTGGGGCGTTTGTACGAGATGGTCCCAGTGAGAATAGTAATAAATAATAAATGAATTTATAAAGCGCGCCATACTCCAATAATTGTCCGTAGCGCCTTAAGAACTACATGATTCGGTACCATTCAGGCTAACGAGACTTAGAGAGTGCTGTAATCAAGAGGGATAAAAACTCAGCCTGACTGCTCCCCGCTTCCCGGCTTCCATTGGAAGGATCACCGCCAAAACTAAGTGCTCGCAGGCAAAAGTTTGCCAGATACACAGGCTAGCATTCAAAATGGCTGCATTGTAAATGAGAGACAAACAAGAAAGGGGAATTGAAGTGGTGTACCTCTGTTTTTTGCTCGTTTCATGTAGAACCTTGTTTGATCCGCTATGAAATCTCCAGGTCTTGCTTCCTTGGTTCGATTGTTCAATTCGCAGAGGTTTTGATCAATGACGTAATTGTAGCTTTGACACGTGACTTCTTCGGCACACCTGAAATAGCAGCTTTCATGCCATTCGATCTTGAACGTTTTAAAGGTGTGGCCTCTGAGGAACATTCCTCTAATAGAGTATTCCGCTGCTGGTTGACATTGGGCAGCAGCTTGAAATACACCAATCCGGGACATCAAGAACGCAACTGAGAGCCAGAACTTAGGATTCATAATGTCTTTGCTATAAGCGAGATAAAAACGAGCATCTCAAAATTGAAGAAATGACCCAAATTTTAGAATGATTTGAGACGTAATTGAAATTGTAAAGAGAATTGAGGAAAATGCTTGCGGGAAATGAAATCCCAAGGGCTACAACAAAATATTCGTTGTCTATCGCAAATTTTGGAAATTTTGAAAGTTCTGTTACAAAAGATTTGCGTTTGTATGCTGTGTGAGTGGAACTTTCCTTTGTGTTTTTAGACTGTGTAGGGCATTGGTTGTGATTTGCCGCCGCGTCTGGCTCGGCAGCATTGGATTTGCCAAACACCGGGAAATCCACTGCCCTTTCTCTTCAAATTGGGTAGAGCTTCAAGGTCCCAATCTTGTTTCGATTACAAGTACGACTACAAGTACTTTCGTTCACATCACTTTAGCCCTTAGCCTTCTCTTGACCTGACTAACTGCCCCTGGGAGGATGGTACTCTCCGCGATAATTAGCAAATTACCAACTTTCTTTTATGTGTTTTGACTAATTAAAGTGTAATTAGTAAACTCTATGTTTTACAGTTAGCGAAATTTCGGTTTAGTGCGTAAAATTCCCTACGTGACACCAAAACTTCAGTTACAATCAAACTTTCGTAACGATTTTCGTTAAGCACATTTCCGGCTCAGCGCGTGATTTACTTCCTGAACAAGGGGGAATTGAAAAAAGATGTAGAGGCCCAGCTTTGAAAAGCAACTGGTGGTAGAACTGTAAAAAGATATAAATACATTTGTTTGTTACCTTGTCTAAAGCAGAAATTTGAAAGAACTGATATCCGAAGTCTTCTGTGTTGGACTCTGAAAATATAAATTAATTTACGCAGTGCCTGCCATGACGCCTGTCTTTCAAATGGAGAATTTGAAAAACTTGGTTTGCCTCTATTACTTTTGTTACTGAGATTCCATTTTATTTTCATAATTTTTATTTACCGGACATCGGGCCAACAGCGCAGAAAAACTATTTCATTTACAACAAAACTTTCTGTCGGAAAAATTTCAGCTCATTAGTCGCCTAAAAAGGTAAAAAGCTCTCACATAAGTGTTTAGGAAAATAACTGACCTTCTACTTCCCTTATCCCTCGCCAATGTTAGCATTCGCTCATCCCGAACCGGTTTTTTCTCACTTTTAATTTCACGAAATTGAGATCTTGCAAAAGATAAATTTAAGCGGGAGTTTCAATTATGCCAAGTTAAGTCGTCTACACTAAAACTAGTGCAATAGGAAATAAGAACGTAGTAAAATGAGGCCTTAAGCGTCCTATGGCGCGACCAGGACTGATGGTGATAAACTTGTTTGCTTCACACCAGAAGCTAGAAGTTTATATGAATTATTTCATATAAACTTCACATCACCAGAAGCTAAGTTAGTTTCAAGTAAGCACTTGACTCAAGTGCACTTAAAAATCTGAAATTGCTCTTTAGAAAACTTGGCTTCACACCTGATGACAAAGTATATTACTTGAAGCATTTTTGCAGTGAAATCAATCATACATATCACAAATGCGATTGTTCGGCAGTAAAATCGTGAGGAAATGCATATAGTTGCTTTGTTGCTAAAGAGCAACGGAACAAACGAACGGCTCAACAACGCGGTTTTCGGTAAAGATATTGCTGTAGGGCCTTAGTTAACCTAGAAAATGCATTTCCGTGCGACTCGTCCAATGTTCAACAGAGTTTTTCGGGTGCAAAGAAATGACCTGGTTGAAACTTGAAACAGCAGAAGAGCACTTGGTGTCGAATGGTTTAGGCTGTCTATGAAAATGAAATTCAAGCAAGTTGTTTATTGGTCTGTTATCAGAATTGTAGCAACACTGCACATCGCTTTCAGTTGGCTTCATTTCCTATCGGTCAAGTACGTTCTCAAGTGTGGTGTAGACCATACTTGGCGGCGCACTTCGTCTTCTTTGATCTACCAACGTTTGCATGGTCACTAAGTTAAGTCCAAGTAAGTATAGTTTACCCCTTCACCCTCAAAGTAGGTTGGCAGTGCACTAAGATTATACTTACAAGCTCTAGTGTGAAGCCAAGTAATCTATCACTTCTTACCCACCTCAGAAGCAGGAATTGAAAGGGGTCGATACCAAAGATTATCCTTCTTAAAACGAACAGCTACCCAGCTCTTTTTTTTTGCATTATTTATATTGGCACTCTTCACATTTCACTTCTCACATTTCATTTCTTGTCAATCAAATCAACTGACACTAGTCTGAACAGGATCTCAATTTGCTGTAATCTGCTATCCACCAATGAGCTAAGTTAATAAGTAGAAAATACAATGTTGTCCAAACTGACAATTGCAACCAGGTACTATTTTACGAATTGATCGTTATCTTACCTTATGCCACTGCCAGAAGAACGCCAGGTCCTTTATGTGTCGAGATCTCAAAATATGCTTGCTTAAAAAAGTGATCTCAAAATTAGGTAACCACTTTCCAAATTCTTATTGGCCTATTTTATGTTATTAACATTTCTTTATATCAATCTGTTTACTTTGTTCCTAAATAAGCAACGTTAATATGGCTTCTGTTTTGACAACCTGTCTCCTTATTTTTAATTAAGAAAAGACGCGTTCGAAGACAACACAGCTGCCTTCGGGTCTTAGTCCAGCCGCTTTTCATATTTTGTTTTTACAGGTTGTGACTCACTGGCTGTATCTCAATGTTTGCTTTCATCATACGTTATGAGGCTGTCTAAGGAGTAATTCGTATCCATCTGTGGCCGCTGTTCCATTTAATCGACTGAATAGCAAAGCAAGAGTTCTACGGTGATATTTATAGCACATATCTTAAATTCAGTGGTTAAGAGTGAATTTTTCTAATTGTCAAACATAAGGTGGCGGAAGTCGAAAAAATCGATTTTTGTTTTTTCATCCACAAATAGCCCCTAGGTAGATACGAAATGTGATATATTTTTTTTTAAGCTCGAAACGCTTTAAATTCGAGAAAATCGAGAAAAACTATTTTCACCTTAAAGGTAGCCAAAATGGCCGATCGCAAAATAGCCGTTTTCTCGCTTTGTATTCAACTTTTATCAGCTTTTGATATGCATATCATTTTCTGGAAGACCGCAGGTAACATTCTGTAGGCCACAATTAACTCCAGTCTCATCTTGCGATTCTTGTGACGAATTAAGTGTAGATTTAATCTCTGTAAGCACGATAGCAACCAAAAAAGTGTTTGTAAACCCTCTCAGGTGTTGGTCAATTTAATTTTTTTAACAAACGTCTTCCATTACAAGCGTAGATATTCTTATTTAAGCTAATAAGTAAAACTGAAAATAACTCTGTGAACACTGGCACACTTGTCCGGTTTAAATACACCGGTGCAGGCGCGAAAGGAGACAATTTTTTCCATTATAAGTCTAGAAGTTTCTTCAGGCGTTTGTTGCTTACGTTTGCTTGTTTGTTTGTTTGTTTTTTTAGGGGGGGGGGGGCAATCTAAAGATGACTTAGTTTTCAGACATCAAAAGTCTATTCAGTCTATGCTTCGGTTTCAACTGCACGCACACTTCGCTACAGCCCGAAACAACATTTTACGCGATCAAACAATTAAATGCAACCGACGCAATTTTGATATCACCCGTAATCTTTTACGTTGTACTTCTAATCATGTTTTACTGGAACCAAAGGAAATTAAGAAAAATGGAAAGATGACACTTCCTGATAAAAGACATAAAGACACATCTGTGACGACAATGCCACACGGCAGAATGGAGATCTTGCAAAATTCTCACTTTCTCCAATTCTTTCCATCGTTTTTCACTCAGCGAAACCTCGGTTTAGGACGTAAAACTTCCATTGTGTGGCACCGATCATTATGTTATAACCAAACTCGAAGCGATTCCAAGTAAGCATAAATTTCTTAGCACGACGTCATTGTACTTCCTCAGTTGACAAAAATACAATTGAAAACTGGCAAAATAAAGCTTACCTGTGAAAAGTTACAGGTAGTAGAATTGTGACAACAAGATATAGATATTTCTTACCTTATCCGAAACAGAAATTTGAAAAAACTGATACCCGAGGTCCTCTGCGTTCGACTCTGAAATATGTATTGACTAAGTGATCCTAAATTAATATACCCAGTGCTTAAAACTGTTGAGGCATCATCCTTATTGGCTCTCCTCTGTAGTTTAATACAAATATTCAAGATTAATATTTACTTTGACATTCAATGGATGACATTTGCGTAACTTCTTTTTTGTTTACGAAGAACTGGAAATACCTCACCTGTCTTTTAATTCGTCGCTTTTCCTCGTCCCGTTTTCTTTTACCGTTATAACTTCTATTTAGGGGACTTAATCTCAGTAAACTATTCTCCCAGAAGAAAGCCAGGCTTAAAGATAATGATGATCATCTCAGTATACGGCGAAATGATGATCTTTTGTTAACAACAATAAGACCTTCTCTTCATGCTGTAAATTTGGACGGGGGCCAATAAATTGATATGCTCATCCCGAGCCGGGTAGTTTTATCATTGTTTAAATTTTTTTTTTCCACTTTTTGTTTAAAAATGTTTAGCTTTTGACTGATTAAGTGTCATTGTCAGAGAAAACCGGGCAGTACCAAAAGATCGAGGTCGGCCGTTTACCTTCATCTTTTCACAGTACAAAAGCTATCCGAAAAGATTAACAACCATGGCATTTGCCGAGGTAGGCGTTCGTTTTTCTTTGAGATATCACCACATCATGATTTTGTGCTCTCAAGCGGTCGAAAATGACCGAAATTTCGGGCAACTTTAGGTCAGCCTAAAAGATACTTCTTACAAATTCCAGAAACTCTTATTTTCGTGCGATAATATTTGTCCCTTTATTAGTTGACTGAGATATATTTGAGGTCTTTCGCTTTAATTCTACGGTTTT